AGCTTACCTCTGAAAACTCAATGAACAGTGCTCAGGCCTTTCGTTCACAGGTTCACTATAAGTCGTCTATGACTTAACAGCACCTAACAACAATAAATAAACACCTGCTCTTCAGAAGTTTACCATTTAATAAATGTGGCTAAATTAACAAATGACAAGGCAAATTTTCTGGAATAAATCTCTTTCATCTTCATATTATTTATCTGGTCTAAACCAAAACTTAAATGGCCCTGTATGGTAGCTGTGAAGGTATTAGATACAGTCCCTATTTTTACATTGCTTACTCAGCAAAGAGAGATCATGACAAATAGAAGAATGATGTAATATGATAAATACTTGCAAATTACATTTCCTGGGATTGCAGAGTATTAACTGAAGCTGGAGCTATTGAGACAAGCTTCCCAAGAAAGGTTAAATTTAAAATTAACATCAATTAAGAGATGAAACTCAATGAGTAGCAGTTTGACAACCAGAGCAGTGAATGGAAAAAGGCATGTATTTTAAAACTGAGAAATAGGAAGAGCTATGGGATAGAGGCCAGAAATCTCATGGCTGATTTAAGGTATTGGTATATACTTGGATCATGGTTTTCCAAAATAGCATAGAGACCCCTCGTTCCCTGAAGACATAGGAGAAATTTAAGCTTTGCTTATTTACTATGAGAAAATATAGAACCTACTGCATTTTGAGATGTTCAAACATAGCATGGAAATAGCCAAAAATGAGTATATTAATTTGAATCTGGCTGAGAAAGCTATTGGTGGCATAACCTGTAGTGAGTTGAGCTCCTAACTTACTTGAACATGACAACTCAAATACATGGAAACTCTGGTAGCATATCTCTTTTGACTCAAATCCACCACTGTTGTCTACAGAGAAAGATGGAAAATCTCCTTTTGGACAATGTATAGTGTCTTGAAAACCCACAGAAGGGTCAGGTATGAGTTGGTTCTGAAGAATACAAATACTTTGCACACTTCAGACAGACACACAGTCTCAATGCTCCTCAAGTTCTTCGATATAAAATGAAAAAATTAAATTGCAAAAAATATGAAAGTACTGGCCCATTCTACTTGCCTAGGAAACTGTCAACTCAATGATTCACAAAAACAATAACACTCTTCCCTCTCACACACAAATACATATGCAACTTCACCTCCCTCAGTGCTTACAGTTAACACTATAAAATAATTTCTACGTCTCTCTTTCAACTAGTGTATTTTATCTTCCCATTTATTCATGAGACTATCATCTTATGCTAGTGGCATAACTGAACGTACTTTCTAGCTTCAGTATTCTGTGAATAAACACTTTGTAGGAAAGCAAAAATAAATCTAGATGAGAGCTAGCAATTAAT